TTAAAGCCCTTTGACCTTTAATAATGTGTGGATGCACCCTGATGTGCTACGCATTCTCCAACGCGCCTAGGCATGCTTCTGAGCAGGTGGTCAATGACGTCCTGTGGTATTCCAGGCAACCACCAACTCCTCTCGAAGTGCTTCTAGAGTCTGAGGAGGACGTTGCAAATTGAGCAATCTCCTACCCATCATATCTCACACGTGCTCAATTGGGGATAAGTCGGGAGATCTTGGTGGCCATGGTAACAATGTGACATCATTATGTTGAAAGAAGTCTACGTATTGTGACTCTTGCAACATGTGGTCGGGCATTATCTTGTTGGAAAGTTGGATCTGCCAGGGTGTCAAGATAGGGTAAAAGATGGGGTTCTAGAACTTCGTGGATATAACGCTGCGCGTTCATGTTACCTCTGATGAAGATTAAAGGTGACCTGGAACCATAAGCTATACCACCCCAAACCATAACTCCAACAGTGTGATGAACAACAAAAAACTGTGGATTCCTCCTTTCACCACGTCGCCTTCTAACCCTGGCACGACCATCGTACATGCCTAAATAAAATCGAGACTCGTCACTAAAGACAATACTGTTCAATTTCTGATCCCAGAGTGACCGTTGTCTGCACCACTCAAGGCGATTACGTCGGTGTTCTCGAGTTAAAGGGAGGACCCAGTGTGGCCGGTATGAAAACAAGCCAAAACTTCTCATTCGTCGGTAAACACTTCGCATGCCAATAGGTCTTCCGTGTTCTGCAAACCATTCATTTGCAATGGACCTGGTAGTGGAGAAACGGTCCCTTAAGGCCAATAATCTTAGGCGGCGATCTTCACGGTCTGTTGTTCTACGGCGACGTCCAGTGCCCCTTGCTCTTTGCGTACGGCCTTCTCGAAGCCATGCCTGACAACACCTAACCACAGTGTCTACACTTCTTTGCACTCTAACTGCAATTGCCCGAAAAGAAAGTCCAGCTTCCCGAAGTCCCACTATACGGCCCCTATCAAACTCACTAAGTTGACGAAATCGTACAGGTCTCCGAACTCTAGGCATCGTAACCGATCGTAAAGGATGTCAAGAACCAAAATCCGCCAACGTTGATTCTTTACTGCAGCTGAAATATTCATTTTTAGAGCGTTAGTGAATTAAAAAAAAGCAGTATAAAAACCGGAATGTCCAACTGATAAGGCTGAAAATTTTTTCACTTGTTATTTACAGTAAGATAAATACATTCACCAACTTTTATTAAAATAAAACCATTTAAACTGGGTGTTCGGATTTATATGTCACTTAGTATATTTGGCTATGACGGCGGGTCGCGGAGAACAAGCAATTGCGCTCTACAACAACGTCTCTTTATAAAAATGCCCTGCATTTGACAGTTTATTTATAAATTATTAATAATAATCATACCCGCGCGTTTAAATTTGCTCATAGATATCCAGAAAGAAGAAGACCGGACGCACATACGGGTAAACAGGCAATAGAAAATTTCAAAACTTTCGGTTGTGTGAAGTCTAAGATTCAAAGGAATGAACCTTTAGTTAACGATGAAGCCATTGTAATAGCAGTTTTTGGGTATTTTTATGCTTTTCCAATAATGTCTTTACGACAAGCTGCACGAGAGTCAGGTTTTACGAAACATACCATTGACAGGATTTTGCACAAACACAATTTTTATCCATACAAGCTATTATTAGTCCAAAAATCAGAAGAAACCGATTTTCTTTAAATAATTTAATTTTGCGAAATGATACAAGACAAAGTATCAAGAAAATGTGTTTTTCCTGAAAAATATTATATGGTCAGATGGAGCAAAATATACCAAAAATGGCCTTTTCAATCGACACAATTCTCATTATTGGGCTAATGAGAAACTTCATGTGATAAAAGTAAGAAGCTTTCAAGACAATCAGTTTTATAAAGAAAATTTAAATGGTAAGTTAGCATTTAACAGTCTTTTTTATAAAAGAAACTGATGAGAATGTGCAATATGCAAATACCAGTAGTACGAGGGATGTCTTTTAAGTCTTGCATTTTACTTTTCTATTGTAAAACTCCAATATAGATTTAGTTTTTTACTTAGTTGGTTTTGACGGCGGAACGCTGAGAATAAACAATTGAGCACTAAAGAAATATCACTACGTCTAATTTGTACGCTTTTAATAATAATATGGGGTTGTCCAAAACGAACGCAGGAAAGTAAACGCATATTAAAACAAGAAAGATTGATATTCAAATCAAGTTGGGTACTTTATTTTGAAGGTTCATTTATACCATTTATGTATGAAAAATAATATCGCTCAAATGTTCACCACGACTGGATTTACAGACGTCCACGCGATGGTCGAAATTTTCAATGACATTTTGCAACATGGTCGGTTCTATGGCATTTATCTCGGCAATGATGTTGTTTTTGAGTTCTTGGAGGGTGGCTGGTTTGTTGACGTAGACTTTGCTTTCCAAATATCCCCATAAAAAGAAGTCCAAGGGAGTCAAATCGCACGATTTTGGTGGCCATGGCACATTTCCTCTGCGCGAAATCACGCGATCACCGAAGAAGGACTGCAATCGATGGATATTGACGTTGGGTGTGTGGCATGTTGCACCGTCTTGTTGGAAATAAACATCGTCCATATCCATTCCTTCAAGTTGCGGCAAAAAATAGTACTCTATCATCACGTTATATCGCTCAGAATTGACGGTAACGGCGTCCCCGGCCGCATTTTCGAAAAAGTAAGGTCCGATGATGCCTTTTGACCACAATGCACACCACACAGTCACTTTTTGAGGATGCATCGGCTGCTGTTGATACTCAGGGGGATTTTCGTTCGCCCGGATGCGGCAGATTTGCTTGTTTACCGTCCCATTCAAAGTGAAATGCGCTTCGACGCTGAACATGATTTTTGATGAAAAATTGGCATCAATTTGGCGGTGTTCAAGGAGCCAATCTGAGAACGTTCGGCGCGAAAAATGGTCGGCCCGACGCAGTTCTTGCGTCAATTGGATCTTGTAGGCGTGTACATTCAAATCCTTGTGGAGAATGCGGAGCAAACTGGTTTTCGAAATGCCCAATTTTTGGGATCGACGCGTTGTTGATTGTTTCGGATCGTCTCTCACACTCTCCTTCACAACAGCAATATTTTTCGGTGTGCGAACGCTCCTTGGCCGGCCAGAGCCCGGCAGATTTGCCACAGAACCTGTTGCCTCGAATTTACGCATCAGACGACCGATGGTTGTTTCGTTTGGGCGGTTGTTGCGACCGAAATGTTCACGAAGCGCGCGAAACGTAGTGTAGTGCTCTTGAATAACTTTAATGCGGTCTTCAATCGAATACGACTCCATAGCGATCACTGGTAAACGTTCAACTAACAAAATGACATGTCGGTGACAGAAAACAAAGATGGCGTCTATGTCAAATTGTCGTTTACTTTCCTGCGTATTCGTATTCAGAATGATATGATAAGCTTGCTCGTAGATTTCTAAACAATCACATACAGTGAAATGACTAACAGAAAACAATAAGCTATTTCGATTTATACTCAACTTTCATGCTATTATAAAACATAACAAGAAACAATTTATTTTGGTAAATGTCCAAAATGACCACCCCTAACTACCAAACATTTAAAACATGGACGTACTAACTCCTGATGAGTGACAGTTCTTATGATTTCCGGATTAAAACTAGCAAACGCATTTCTGACTCTCTGCTTACAGTCATCTAGAGTGGTCAGTGGGTACTGGTAAACAATATTTTTTATTGTCCCCCATATAAAGTAGTCCAAAACTGTTAGATCTGGCGAACGAGGCGAGCACTTGAATGGTCCATTATTATTCATACATTTCGATGATCAGCAAGTGGTAAATTATTCAAGTAACTGTTTTCTAAATTCCGAAGAATGTTCAAATAACCTTTACCTAAAAATATTATTGGGTATTAATAATAATAATTTTTATAACTGAATAACGTTTTCTTTAATATCCAAATATTTTTAAATGAGATAAATTGGTACTAATGTTGGCAGTGCTGGCCTTAAGTGTTAAAAAAACTTATACGAGGGATGTCTTTTAAGTTTTGCATATGGAAATAAAACAACACGGTAGGTAGTTTTAAATGACTTTATTGTTTTCCGAAGTTTTCGGAGCCCGGTGATGACTTTTGGCAAACAAATGATGGTATACCAATCCGCAGTAACAGTTCTTTGCTTATTAAGAGGAGTTATTGCAACTCTGGAATTCCCAACGGTAAATTGTCGACTGGTGTGGCGCTTCGTTGCCGAAAACAGACAGTAACTCAGCAAGGCATTCTTGTTGCGATAATTGTCTCTGAAAGTTGTATTAAATTATGGCGCGAAAATATTCTCGGTTGAGTTCCATTTTCCTAATGACTTGGTGACACGTAAAAATTGACTGTAGTGAGAATGCTGCACGTATTGTTGTGAAACTTTGAATTTAAGTTTACTAAAGAGTGAGGTTAAGTTCCAGTACTGACGTTCGATCCGCGCGGCCTACTATGTTTCTATATGCAAAACTTAAAAGACATCCCTCGTATATTGGTTTTCTTGCTGTTTTCTATGGGCATTATCTTGTAGTAAGCTTTTAACATTATTTGTATAATGTTTAGAAAACTAATCTCTTTTATTGGGATCACCATCTATCCGTCAGCATAAAACAGGTCTCTATTGAGTATTTCTAAGCATATAAGTGCGTGAGGCTACAGATGGATCAGAAGTATCAATTCCTTCTTTATCATACCACTTATTCTAAATTGATTAGAAGTATTATCCGGCGCTAATTACATCTGTCCTGCCAAATATTAAGAATACCAGATGTGTGAGATAAATTTACTGTAGAATTTAAATATGGAAAACGAAATTGGTAGATAAAGTGCTAATTGATACCGTCACAAGACTGAGAAGTGCTCTTTAAAGAGGTTGGACGCAACAAAGTACCTACAAGGGTTTCTCTGTAAGATTGTCTATAAATTCTTTTTTTTTTTCAGGTTGAGCTGGAAAACTGGGTGAACAGCATTCATAGCGCATGCGCCGCAGCATTTGCAAGACACCGAGGTAAAACTGGTACGCTACATCTGCTGCAAGAAGAGATCTTCCGACTAGAAAAAGCCATCGAAACGGTAAGTTTTAGAATCTAAGCCTTGTTCAAAATATGACATTCTCCCATGGTATATAACTCCACAACAAATACGATGTACGGGATACAAGGAAAGAAATCTACCTAGTCATGAAAAAGACAACTGTAACACACAAGCATAATATATGTCAAATAGTAGCATGTGTTCTAGCCTTAGTCGCAAAATTTAATCTAACTTTGATAATCAGCTTCCACTTCATACCGTTAATTTGAGAGGAAAAATGAGTAACTTAAAATTACAGTATCGCAATGTCATAAATTTTTTAACAGAAAAGGGTCATCAGCTGAAAACAATTTTTGAGAAAACGGTTACCAACTATGCAAATGATGCACCATCATGTTACATAATGAAATTTTGGTCGAAAAAGTTTCGAGGGCTGCGTGAATCCATAGAAGACAACCCAAGAAGTGAGAGACCCAAAACAGCGACAAATGATGAACGTTGAAGTGATGATTTTCGTAGATGGTCTCTACCATTAGAATGACATTGAATAGGTGTATATCGGAACCCAGCGTAATAACCCTCTTGCAAGGCAATTTGAACATGGATAAGATGTCAGCTAGATGGGTTTCACGACTGCTGACACCTGAACGAAAATTACGGCGGTTCTGAATTTTCGGCACAAATTGTGATGGGCGACGAGACTTGGATACAACATTGGGATCCTGAGACAGAAAAAGAGTCTCCACCCCCCATAAAGGCGCTATATATATATATATACGGGTGTCCGCAAAGTTGGGGTTTTCCTTTTCAGAAACAACTACCCTTGAAATAACAAAGGTAATGTGTAGTGAAACGAGGGCGACCAAGTAAAAAAATAAAGGAAAAAGTACTCACTCTCCAGTTGACGAGAAGGGCTAAGTACGTCTCTGCCCGAAATCATACCGCTCCAACAGAAAATGAAATCAGCTGATGCGCTACCGAGCAGACGCCGGCGGTGGTTCAGGCCACGAACAGAGGTAACAAATATGACCATCGTGCAGAAACCACATTGAATGTCTTACACGTAATGGCACATCTTCTAACAAGGAAGGCAAAATGTTGCGTGAAAAGTCTAGGTATTGCATCCCGTCCAATCGATTTGGGAGAATAAATGGTCCAATGAGCATACCGTTCACCATACCAGCCCAAACATTCACCGAAAATGTTTTTTGAAAATGTGCCCGACAGACAGCGTGCGGATTTTCTACTGACCAAACATGAGTGTTGCGAAAGTTATTCACCCCATTACGCGTGAACGTAGATTCGTCTGTCACTGTCACTGTCACTCACAAAACCGCACTCTTGCTGGAAAATCGTCAGGTTGAAGGGCTTGTACACGTTGGACGTGAAACGCATACAGCCCCTCTTCACGCAGCGTTTGCCACACTTTAGTTTTTGATACTTGCACTTCTCTAGCCACGTCTCTAGTGCTTGTTGTTTTTTGAAATTCAAACGATTATCCGGGTTCGTTTACCTCTACAAGCGTGACCGTAACCGTCGGTTGAAGGTTGCATACTGACCTGAGACACTGACCGCGACCCCCGACCCAGTTCTGTCGTCGGGTTTAGCTAGTGTCCTAGTACCAGTCGGGGATGTCGCGAGTCGCGGCTACAGGACGGTATTCAGATATTTTTGATGTTGCAGAGCCCTTTATCTCGGTTCCCTTAAGACATTGCTGTATATGGTACTAAGAAAAATTGCTTATGTTTTCAAGATCTACACGTCGTGTAAAGGAAAACCCCACCTTTGCGGACACCCTGTATATATATAAGTAGGAAAATAATGGACAAAATCCGAAAAAAGGATGAATGTACATATGCAACTACAAAAGTAGATACACATGCCCACACATCCGGATACGGGTATAACCTGAGGAAACGAAGATGGAGAGCGAAAAAAACTAGGGGTTTGAAATCACGAGTCCGTGGATACAGATAAATGGCCGTCTATTAATTAAATACCCCGAAATGAAATTAGTGTATACAACGCCGTCTGCGTCTAAGTTCGCGTCTTGAGAAACGTTCGTCGTTTTATGTCCTTCTTGCTCGGCGGCTGAGCACAGACTCCCTTGTCGTCAGGCGACAAGACGTGAGGCGCTTGCGCGGTTGGCTTCTGGATTGTTCTAGAAGACTTCTTCCTTCAGTGGTGTCGGCAGCGCATAGGCGTCGTCACTCAAGGATCAAGGGTTACGCATTGACGCAAAATAAAAATCATAAAATAACGTTATCCTACACATATATATATATATATAGTATGTTTGACATATATATATATACAGGGTGACTTTGAAGTTGAGTCATTAATTTTCAGATAATGATTGTAGAAGGAAGATAAATCAAAATATGTGTGTAAAAATAAAAAAAAATTAAAAAAAAAATTGTACCTTGTTTTATAATGTATCCTCCCGACAAGTATTTCAGTGCGAACCTGTATTTGATCGTGAGGTCTTGGAGCACCGGCATGCCGTCACCTGATTCACGAGCCCGTTGTACTACATTAACAAAGGGTTGGTTGCACTCGATTGGGAAACCGATCCGCATAAACATGTGCCATTTTTTATTTCATTTGAGCCACGCAACAGACACCACTATTCACTGACACTGACTGAATACAAATGAATAAAATAATTGTAAAAACATCGTTCCAAATTCTTTCGCTTTTTTGTTTCCGATGCGATGAACCGATACGGCGGATTATATCCGTTGTCGCCAAACACGAGCACATAATATTATTATTGAGACAGGGCGGTACTCAAACTTCCAAAGGGCTATAACTTTGTTACTTTAATTTTACCAGAAAAATGGTAAAGGAAAAAAACATTTCTTTTGATCAGATCTACTCACTGTTAAAATAAATGACTCAACTTCGAAGTCACCCTGTATATATATGAGCAGTAGTCATTGCCAAAGCTAACGACAAGTTGGGTACAAAATACAATATTTACTTGTTAATTGGGAAATTGGCAAAACTTTTAGGCTTAAGTTGACTCTTCTGACGATAAAATCAAGCTTTCGGCATTCTCTATGGAGCCTTCATCAGGATTCTGAAAACACAATTGTGATGCTAGCAAAGAAAACAGGACAGATTTAAAATGTCAGACAACTTACTCGTCGATGAGGTTGCAGCCACAAGGTGTTTCAGAAAGAACGTAGAGAAGATCGAACTTGTGATCAGTATAAAAACAAAAGGACGGGGACATTGGGCTTGTTGAAAAACGACAGATACCTTCGTTAAAAGTTAAGAAAAAATAAAAATTATATCAATACACCCGAAAAAGTTAAAAATATTACACGTGGGGAGACATTTTGTTGAAACAATCGGAATGCAGTCCCTAACCTTCTACTACCGCTACACGTGGAGAGGGGGAAGGCACGGAAAGGTAAAGCGTCGACAGATGACAAGTAATTGACGCGACGGACCGTGGAAATGTACACCTCCCTGTCCAACTTTGGGTATGCCGTGGAAATGTACACCTCCCTGTCCAACTTTGGGTATGAAGTATACTAGGGACTCTCGGTAAATCTCCACCCAAAATTACTAAAATGCTGAAATAACTTGTTTTGGAAAAAAGTGTGTGGTTCATATGATATTTATATATATATATATATATATACAGGGGACTTCGAAGTTGAGTCATTTATTTTAACAGTGAGTAGATCTGATCAAAAGAAATGTTTTTTCCTTTACCATTTTTCTGGTAAAATTAAAGTAACAAAGTTATAGCCCTTTGGAAGTTTGAGTACCGCCCTGTCTCAATAATAATATTATGTGCTCGTGTTTGGCGACAACGGATATAATCCGCCTTATCGGTTCATCGCATCGAAAAAAAAAACCGAAAGAATTTGGAACGATGTTTTTACAATTATTTCATTCATGTGTATACAGTCAGTGTCAGTCGGTAACGCGAGAGTGAATAGTGTCTGTTGCGTGGCTCAAACAAAATAAAAAATGGCATGTGTTTTTGCGGATCGGTTTCCCAATCGAGTGCAACCAACCCCTCGTGCCTTTGTTAATGTAGTAGAACGGGCTCGTATATCAGGTGACTTAAGACCTCACATGGGGACTGCATGCTGGTGCTCCAAGACCTCACGATCAAATACAGGTCCGTACTGAAATACTTGTCGGGAGGATACTTTATAAAACAAGGTAATTTTTTTTTTATTTTTTTTATACACATATTTTGGTTTATCTTCCTTCTACAATCATTATCTGAAAATTAATGACTCAACTTCAAAGTCACCCTGTATATATATATATGCCAAAAGATACAACATCAATTGCAGACGTCGATGCGAACACATTGAAAAGCTTACATGAAGCAGTTAATCAGGAATGACCCGATTTTTCCAATCGAGATGAGTTTCTGCTGCTGGAACTTACAAAAATAGTGACATCGTAATGTATGACATGGATTTGTATTTTTTCTCAAGTTTGTATTTTTGCCAGAACGGGATATCAGGCAAAGTCTGTACTGCTGCCTAGCAGATATTTTTTAAATTTCACGATAAAGGACAAAAACGGACTGATTATACGTATATTTATATCCCCAATCTGTCATAGTTTTCAGAATAAGCCTTTTTATGGTATAGCAGCTGAGTGTAAATTCCAGCCTCTTCCCAATATTAATTGCCCACGATATATCCCTGTCCATTTTATCAACGTGTGACGTAGAAGCGACCAATGGATCGTCAGATAGCCGAAAATTAATCACCTTCGCATAATCGCGTATTTTATTCCCGTTTTGTCTTACAAATGTGCAAGCTGGGCCATACGTATACCGGCACAACGTCGTTTTCAATTAGTTCCAGCTAATGGTCCCGTTAAGATAAATTGGCGATGGACGCTAGCCAGACTTTATTAAAAAGTTCACACAGGATACACGATCTTTCGTCTAAAATTTATCTTCTTTTCATTCTATTAAGTGTTTGTGAAAGTGGAAGCAACTTCGAGTAGATTAAAGGTGCAGGTTTATTTGTGACTTGCACTCACTTGACTTACGT